CCAATTTGGGACAGTTCGACTCCTTACCAGTTCGAACTTGTAACAGTTCGATTCTGTCCGCGTTCTGTTCTGGTACGTGTGCGGAAAAAGGACTGTTCTGAATTGAATCAGTTCGATTTTAGGTCTGTTCGAATTCGTCGTACCCCCGTGAAAATTACGAAAAATTAACATGAATCGATGAAAAATAGGCTAAATAGGTCAAATTAGGTGCAAAGTTTTGAGCTACGGTATTAAAGGCACATATGAAAACAGCGAAAATCTAAAAAACCCATAAAACCGCAGAATCTTCCAGAAACCAACATGGACTGCGCGCTGTCCGAAGACTGTCCAACTTCTCTCGAGTGCGTCGCCGCAAAGTGCCGTTCTATGGGACCACGCAGGACCAAAATGATCAATTTGTATAGTCGGTGGTGATTTCTGTATTTTATGTATCAAACTCTGTACTAATAAATTATTCGGTTGGGATTCTCTTTAAGATCAAAGTAACAGAATTTTCCAAAAAAATGCACACCGAAAAATCAGAAAATTATCAATTAAAATCCTCCTCTCCTCGTTCCTGGATCGTCCCTTCGAGCTCTTTCGACGTATTCGCCACGTCTTCCTTAATCAAATCGCGAATCTTGTCCAACACCTGCGGCGGCAGCCATCCCTTATCCCGAATGTCCTCCTCCGATGGTTGCGGTCGTGCCTCCCGGCCTTCCATAATCCCTAGAAGCACCTCGATGGCTCCCGGCAACTGAACATCCATTACACAGTACCACATCTGACGGACACGTGGCAGTTTTCCTTCCTCGTACATATAGGACACTGGTACTGAAATGAACATTTGCTAATTCTGATTTTAAGACTTTTTGAAACTTGCTGGAAATTCTGAATTTTCGGTTTTTTTAGAAAATTCTAAAATTTCAAAATTTCAGATTTTTGGAATTTTTTATATTTTGGATGCGAAAATGACCTAGGAATTGCTTAAAATTCCCCTGATGTGTTTTCTAGGTCATTTTGAACTGGTGGCCTAACTTTTGCAAGTCTAATTTTCTCGGCCACTATGCTAAAATGACCTGACCTGCCCCTGGTATGGTTTCTAGCGCATTCTGAAGTTGTGGCCTAGAAAACCCAACTTGCAAAAAATAGGCCACCACTTCAAAATGAGCTAGAATTGGTCTGACATTCACCAGGTATGTTTTCCAGGTCTACTTGGAAGTGGCCTAGAAAACCCGATTTACAAAAGTTAGGCCACCACGTCAAAATGAGCTAGAAATTGCATGAAAGGCTTTGAGGTGTTTTTTTGCTCGTTTTGAAGTGATGGCCTAACATTTGCCAGTTTAGTTTTCTAGACCACCATGCTAAGATGACCTAGAAAAGGCCTGACATACCTCTGGGTGTTTTCTAAGTCATTTTAGCATGGTGGCCTAGAAAACTCAACTTGCAAAAATTAGGCCACCGCTTTAAAACGAGAAAAATGCACCTACCATTAGTCTCCCCATTCGGATTAATCGTCCCCGCTCGATCCGACGACACCTTCAATCTCTGCCTCTCCGGAATACTACCATGCTGACGGAACGAGACCATAATTGTCTGATAGAGTCCACCCTCGGAATCCTTCCTCGGATCATAACCAAATTTACACCAAAGCCTTCCCCAGGGACCGCTTTGAATGTAGAATGCGTACTTTTGAAGGATGCTTCTCAATAGACTATCGTCAATCTTTGTTCTGTACAGTAATCCGACACGTGTCCACATTGGACGTTCATCGAAAAGCTCTTTCAGAAGACGATGTGGTTCTTCGTGCTTACATCTGAAGTGCGCTTCCACGACGGCTTCATCGGATGGCTTTTCTGGGAAGTCGTCAGCAGCCATTACGGTTACAGAGAGCGCTTTTCGTTCCACACGGAGATTCTGTCCATATCCACTTCGCACCGCCCGTCTCGTCTTCTCCGTATGATCAGTTTCTCTTCCGAGAATCTTTGAAGATGGTGTCAAGTACCTACTGAACTGATAAGGAGGCAGAAAGAGGGGCGTGGGTTGTGGCATGACTTTGTCCCACCAACGCAACGCTGTTGATAAATCTGTCGGTATCAGTTTTGGAATCAAATCTTCGAAGCCGTCGGTGCCGATCCGTTTCTTGAGTGGGAGGTATTGGAAATCGCACATCACATCGAATGTGTACACTGTATTGATCTAAAAATGCCATTTTATGAAATATCCTATTCGAGCTCTCATTATCCGTCTCTTACCAATCCCAAAAACTTGGTTTCCATTTTTGTCGGATCCGATTTCTTGCGTCGAACCTTCATGACTAGATTCAAAGTGCCCGATGAAATATTGTCTTGGGGTTTCGTTCAGCCATAATTCTCGATGTATACGGATTGTCGGGGGTGTGGCTCAGCTCGAGAGAGTGATTGTTGAAGTGTGATTGAGTGATGAGTTGAAGACCGCCCATTGATTGGAGGGCCTGGAAAATTTTTTTGAGATTTACCATAAAACCTGTATTAGAAGGGACCCACACTGTCAAGTTTGAGCTTAATTATCACAAACTTTTATAAGAGATATCAAAAATGTGTCAACTAACTGATTGTTTGTGATATTAGGATGAGCAATTTATCAGTAGAAAAAGAGACTCAAGGTTAAAAGTTAGGGGTCTGTCTATTACAGGTTTTCAGGTATTAACCAGAGATGTCCGGAATGAATTTTTGAGAAACGGAATCCGGAATCCGGAATAAAATAATTTTCTCGGAATCCGGAATCGGAACAAATGAAAATTTCACGGAATCCGGAATGAAATTAATTTTCCGGAATACGGAATCCGGAATGAATAAAAGCCCGGAATCCGGAATACGGAATCCGGACATCTCTGGTATTAACCTTTTTTTGAAATTTTTAACCTATTTTTCAGCATTTTCGGAGATTTTTATCTTCCCTGAAAGCAGAAAAAAAAGCATAAAATTGCAGGTGTTGTCAAAAAATCATGGAAAATGGTCCAAAAATCATGAAAAATGGTCCAAAATTCATGAAAAATAGTCCAAAAATCACGAAAAAATGCCCAGAAACCATGAATAATGGTCCGAAATCCATGAAAAATGGTCTAAAAATCATGAAAAATGGTCAAAAATCCATGAAAAATGGTCCGAACTCCATGAAAAATAGTCAAAAAATGTGATCGCTAGAATCTTTCCTGACAAGGGAACCATGTTTAGCCTTCATCTCAGAATTTTTTCTAAATTTGCTCATTTATAGTTTCAAATACGGGCTTTCTTGTGGTGTATTCGGTTTTCTGCACAAATTTCTAGAAGCCGAGAAAAGTCCATCTGAAAATATGCTGTTTTTTCGGTCTCCTCCTTCCCTTCCACTTTCCCCCCTATCCTCTATACATTCTCCAATGTGGAAGAAACAAGCAGCAGTGGCCGAGTGGATAGTGTGGATGAATAGTAATCATAAGTTTGGGGTTCGATTCCGTCACTGTCCATTTTCCTTTTTCTTTTTTTCTTTGATGTTGGAGGAATGCTTTGAACTTTTCAAAAATCAAAACTATGTTTGCTCTATTATTTCAGTAGGAAAAAAGCTCGAAAAAGATAATTTCTGAAAAATTCTTGAAGCACTGCTGAAAAGCCTTATCTACTCAAAATGTCAGTCGAAATCCCCCTATTTGATCATATTGGTTGCGGAACTGTTATAAATCAGTCAAGAAGTATGTAATTCTATGTTTTCACAATATTTGAGTGCTATTGGGTGATTTTCGAAGGACTACGATTCATTGGAGTTTTGGAAGAAATCACTTATTTCGGATTTCAAAACGGATATAGGCTACAGAATCTTGTGAAAAGACTCATTTTATCATTTTTATGCGTTTAGAATTCATTTTAGCCCATTTAAAAAATTTTCGAAACATTGAAAATTTCGCAAAGTACCCATGGCGAAAATTTTTTCAAAAAAAATTTTTTTTTGAAAAATGAGGAAACTTTGTCATATTGTAGAGAAACCTCAATAATTGCGATTGACACTCAAACAATGCCAAAAAACTCCCATTAACCCTTTCAAAAACTCACTCCAAAAGTGAGAAATTAGTACTGAAATCACTTAAACAGCCCATAACTCGACTTCTAGAAATCTGTACAGAAAACCAAATACATCAAAAGAAAGCCCGTATTTGAATCTATAAATAAGCAAATTTAGAAAAAATTCTGAGATGAAGGCTAAACATGGTTCCCTTGTGAAATTAAAAAACAAATTTTTCAAAAATTTGGAAACTTTCAAAATTTGTCATGTCCAGGCCAGAAACAACCGTTTTTTAATATTATTCAAGATGCAAAATCACGAAAATTGAATATTTAAAAATCGAAAATTTCGAAACTTTTTAGTCATTTCCAGGCCAGAAACCGCCGTTTTAGGATATTTTTCCACCTGAAAAGCTACAAAAATGCACCTCAAAATCTAAAAATATTCCGTTTTTGCGAAATTTCCAAATTTTTTTAAATTTTTGTAAATTCCAAAATTTCCATTTTAGGGTATTTATTTTTACCTTATCAACATTTTTCACAATTCCCGGATACTTGATCAGTATGAACTGTTTGGGCTCTTCTTTCTCATCTGGCCGATTGAAATTCAAAAAATCGTCCATCTTCTTGTCCAATTTTATCTCCATTTTTAGGCTGAATATAAATTTTTTAGGTCAAAAAGTCTCCCACAACAACTACCGTAACCTGTGAAAATACTTGAATTTTTCGTTTTTCCGCAATTTTCTGTCAATTTTTTACAATCAAAAAATCGACGAAAACCAGTGGAATACAAAAAAAATTAGGTTAGGTTACTGTAGTTGTCGTTGTGGGACCTTAGAAAATAGCTAAAAGATAGAAAAACCGGGAAAAACCACAAAAAATCGCAAATATCGACAAAAACTGGAAAAAAAATATTATTAAGCTCATTAAACCAGTGAAAAATAATGGATTCTTTTTTTCAAAAATGTGCAATTTTAAATACAAAATAATACAAAAAATGATAAAATTCAAGAATCATCCATATCATCGGGCTCATCAAACGGCCATCCGTTCTGCTCCACCTTCTTCAGCTCAGTGTATGGCCATGCGTTGAACGAGTGCGTTTTGACGCCATGCACAAAATTGTACTCCTGAAAGCAGGACCGACAGAAGTAGGTGTACGTGTTGGGAAGGAGTTCGTGACGATCTACGACGAATCTGGAAATTTTTGAATTTTTTGAAATTTCTAGATTTTCGAATTTCGGAATTTCTGAGTTTCCGAATTTCTGACTCACTCGACATGTCCTTTTTTACAAATCTCGCACTTCCGCTCGTTTCCCTTCTCATACAACACATACGGATACTGATCGATGCCACGTGGATCCGATTCATGTAGCAGCCGCAAATCATGAAATATCAGCACATGCTCACAGTTTCCAGAGTGCTGAAAAACGTAGGGCTGGCCGAGGCGGAGACTCAAATCGATAATCCGAACGCCTTCCATTGGCACCGCGTCCACCGGGTCGAAAATCTCCCTGTCTTGCATGAACTTTCGAATTGGGCTGGAATTTTTTTTTACTTTTTTCGGATTTTTTCTATTTTTGAGGCTTTTTTTCCAGAATTTTCTGATTCATACTCATTCTTTCTTTCCAATCATCATATTTTCTAATTTTCTCCCAAAAAAATTTTTTTGAGTTACAGCTCTTTTTTCCTCCATTTTCTTCCTTCTAAATTTCCGAATTTCAAAATTTCTGGATTTCTGAATTTTCCAGCCCGGAAGGAATCTTTTTTAGTGGCCAAAAATTTTTTCCCAATTTTTCGATTTTTAGGGATTTCTTCCTAAATTTTTGGATTTTATACTCATTCTCCTTTTCTAATTATTATATTTCCCAAGTTTCTTCCAAAAATGTTTATTAATTCCAGAGTTACAGCTCTTTTCTGTTCCATTTTCTCCGCCGAAACCGGGAAAAGTGGGCGGGGCAAACTTGAGCTGCGGCGCAGAAAAGAGGGCGGAGCGAGCAGACCTGCCGCGCGGAAAATTGGCAAGTTTTTTCTTCTGGCCTATTTTTGATGAAATTTAGGTTTCAAAATACTAGAAATGAAGAAAAAGGGTCGAAAATTATAGAAAATGAATTTTACAGCATAATTTAAGCAGTTTTCCACAAATTTTCCTAGAAACGAAGGAAAAAGTGTCGGAAAGCCTAAAAGAGCCTAAATTCACAATAACTAGCTTACAAGGAAATATCTTGTGCGTTTTCCGGCGCGGAGTCAACATAAAACGTGTTATGCACAAAAATGAACGAGGAGGGGAATCTCTCAGCAGTGGAATTATCAAAGCAAGGTGGCTCCAACTCCAGGCCATTCTCCAGGGGGACGATTGTGTCGCATTGGCAGTACTGGAATTTTTTCATTAATTTTTGAGGGGGAAAGTGCTGAAAAGCATGAAAATTCGCATAAAAATAGAGAAAAAAAATACGAAAAAAATTTTTTTTTAATTTTTTTTCTCTACTTTTAGGTGACTTTATGCCCAGAATACAGCTAAAACTAACAAATTTCTTCCTCAAATCTGACAAAAAAGTGTCTCCTCTGACTAGAAACTTGTTCTGAGTCTTCAGAAGACGTGAGCTCCGCAACTCGTGGGACTGAAGCGGTCTGTTGTATGGAACTATGGTGTCGACGATGAGGACGATGTCATCGTCGCATTTTTCAGTGATGGAGCACTGCGGGCGGTACATCTGGAAGTAAAATTTGAAAAATTATAAAAAAATTTTCTCACCGTTGTGTTCGCCCCGCCGCTCATCATAAATTTATCGTATTTCAGCGACGTCACATACTGCGATTTTCGCTGTCTGGAAGCTTTCGTCCACTCGTTTCTTTTGGCAAACTCTCTGAAATTTTTTTTTTCAAAAATTTTTTTTTTAATTTTAAAAATTACTTATGAGTGAACAAAATTGATTTCTTTAAATCAGCTTCGTCTCCCTTCATATCCTCCAAATTTCGGCTGGATCCTACATCGGAGAGAAACATATCAAGGTCTGAAACTGCTGAAATGGCTTCCGCGGCATCTGAACTGCTGAATCCTTCCAAAGTCATGCTGTTCTGCCACACCTCCATTTCCACTTTTTTCAGGTCTTCTGCATCTGTCGCTGTGTCGATTTCTCGGTCGATTGTTACTGGAAAAATTTAAAAAAATATATTTATTTTTTAATTTTTTTTGAAATTGACACAAATTTTGGCCAAAACCTTACTTTCTGCATCTTCTCTCGCGTCCAATAAATCCTCCTTGACTGCTTTCAGCTCTAGAAGCGGTGAAACGAACCATTGGTGATCGGCGCTAAATCTGCGATCCATTTTCTATTTTTCGAATTTTCGCTTTTTAGCCTCAACTACGGTGCGCGGCGCGGTGTTTGCACAACTTTTTGGTACACCGCGACGCGCAAGTGCACAAGCGTGGAAGGCGCCAAAATTTTTAGGGCGCCAGATTTTGAATTTTAGGATGCGCGGAACTGTCTGGAGTCGTCAGTTTGTCATCATTTTTACCTTATTTTTTCATTTCTCTTTTTTTTCTGAATTCTTCGATTTTCGGGAACTTTTCACAGGTTCACAGGCTTTTCACAAAAGCCCTTTTTGTCATCATTTCAAGAATTTCAGTTTTTCAGCTATTTTTGATAGCTGTTGGGCCTGAAAACCAATAATTCCGCGCTTTTTGGTGCTGTTCGGCAGAAAAACCTTTTTTACCGCTCGGTTTCTGGAGTTTGGCCTAAAATTTTCAAAAAAAAATCTTTCAATTTTGAAAAAAGCAAAGCTTTCCAGCTTTTTTTTTTCACTTTCAGGCCTAAAAAATCCGACTTTAGGTCATTTTTAGGCCCTTTCAATCCACTTTTGTGTGTTTGGCCTAAATTTTTAGTCACAGGCGTTCCGGATGACTCAGCATCGGTTTCTATTCTCCTCTCACTCGTATTGAACCTGCATCGGTTTCCTCTGTCTGTGAATACCAAATTCTCCCATTTTCTACAAAATCCGCATTCTGGAAAGTTCGGGCTTCCCGAATCCTTCCCGACGGCCCAAATCCTCTCTGAAGGCCATATCTCATGCGGAAAACACAACAAGATTATTATTAGTACTAGTAGTGTGTTCGGTGTCAACTCAGTCGGATATGCGATCAATCAAATCTCTAGTACTGTCTATTTGTACAGCTTGCCCCTGTCCTATGGTGTTGCATTTCTTGCCAAAAAAATGAGTTGTTTGCTGTTTGTTTCAGGGTTTCTTATCAGTTTATTTTAGGCTCTTATCAGATTCCTCTTATCACATATTAAATTCTTCCAGAGGGAGGAGTTCCAGGGTCATCAAAAATTGCCAATAACAGGCTATCGAGGTTTAACCAGCCGCGTCGCAAATCGGGCACAAATTTTCAAATACTAGGGACATCCATCCATCGCGCCCGATGGTCAAGGCCGCCGTCATCTCAAAAAGCATTCGCGTTGGGGCCTAGGAGAGAAGAGAAAAATGACGAGGACACAGAAACAGAGCGACGGGCGGCGCCAGTGTCCTCTCTTTCTCCTCCCCTCTATGTTTCTCGGGCGCGCTCTTGGTATAATGTGTCTCATCGACTCAACTCAACACGACACGGACAGCGGGGCCGACGATGGGAGTGGTGGTTGGGAGAGGAAGACGGAGAGCTCTTTCCCGATGCCCAGTGCCCCCCGACACGACCCCTTAACTCGGTTTTTTGTTTCTTCTCAAAGTCTTAGACAACTTGTTCTGTTTCTTTGTTCCAACCAGTTTGTTACATTTTATCTACCCGCGCCCGCGCTTAGGACTATGGTAGCTGACCTTCTAGCAGGTTCAAAGTCAATCAGTAGATTTTGCCACGTCATCTCCCCAACGGAGACTCCGTTGTCGCAGTTTTCCGCAATCCTTCTTCTTCTTTCCGTCCCCGCAAATCGTTCGCGGGTACGATTTTCATCGCATTGAACTAGTTTTTCATCTGTATCTCTTCTCTCCGCATCCATTTCACATTTTCCACGGTTTTTTGCCTCTCCACCCCAATCGAAAACAGCAGCAGTTTTCCAACGCGGCACATTCTGAAGCAGTTCCCATAGGATTAGGGCTTGCGCCAATTGCACCCGATGAAAAGCCATCTGTGCCTCTTTCTCTTGGTGACATGCTGGCAAAACAAATGGATTAGGCTCTTTTCTCCTCGGTCCTAAATGGAGTAGTAGGAGAATTGATGATGATATTTCGCAATTCAGATGTCGTTGTTGTGCTCTCTATTTCCTCTCCTAATACTACCCATATTTCGCAATCGCTTTAGTTCCCCCTCTCGTTTCGGTTTCGCTTCCCACCCCACCCCTTTGGACACTGGGGTCTGCGGCTGCTGTTAGCCTAGTGGCCGCGGCCACTGCGGTTTTTAATGCGAGGCGCCGCGCGCCCCGTGTTCTTTTCTCTCCCCTATTATCGATCCAAGTGCACACAGCGTTTAAAACTACTTCGTCTCTATTCTATTGCTCTAGTGCCGCAGCCCTTTTTTGGGCTTAGAGGGTCGATAGGAAGAAAAGAGAACTGCGAAGTGCGCGAATTTCGCAACTCCTGGCATACTGTAGCATCTTGACAGAGAATCACTGCTCATCAATCTTCTTCTATCTGTTGTGTTCTTTCTCTTTCTCTTCCTTTCGTTCTCTTCACACTCTCACCTTCTCAAGTTTTTGCAGCAAAAATGAGAGAGATCGTCCACGTTCAAGCCGGACAGTGCGGAAACCAAATCGGATCCAAATTCTGGGAGGTCATCTCCGACGAGCACGGAATCCAGCCCGACGGAACATTCAAGGGAGAGACCGACCTTCAGTTGGAGCGCATTGATGTCTATTACAACGAGGCTAACAGTGAGTTTTGATCTAGACAATCCATCCAGGCTGGATTCCGAATCTCAAATTCTCGATTTTCAGACGGCAAGTATGTTCCACGCGCAGTGTTGGTCGATCTCGAACCAGGAACCATGGATTCTGTCCGTTCCGGACCATTCGGACAGTTGTTCCGCCCGGATAACTTTGTGTTCGGACAAAGCGGAGCCGGAAACAACTGGGCCAAGGGACACTACACAGAGGGAGCTGAGCTCGTCGACAACGTTCTCGACGTCATCCGCAAGGAGGCTGAGGGATGCGATTGCCTTCAAGGATTCCAGCTGACCCACTCGCTCGGAGGAGGAACCGGATCCGGAATGGGAACCCTTTTGATCTCCAAAATTCGCGAGGAGTACCCAGACAGAATCATGAGCTCATTCTCGGTTGTACCATCACCAAAGGTGTCCGACACCGTCGTCGAGCCATACAACGCCACACTCTCCGTCCATCAGCTTGTCGAGAACACCGATGAGACCTACTGCATTGACAACGAGGCCCTCTACGACATCTGCTACAGAACGTTGAAGCTCACCAACCCAACATACGGAGACTTGAACCATCTCGTCTCGCTGACAATGTCCGGAGTCACCACCTGCCTCCGATTCCCAGGACAGCTCAACGCCGATCTCCGCAAGTTGGCCGTCAACATGGTACCATTCCCACGTCTTCACTTCTTCATGCCAGGATTCGCTCCACTCTCCGCCAAGGGAACCCAGGCTTACCGCGCCTTGACCGTCGCCGAGCTCACCCAACAAATGTTCGATGCCAAGAACATGATGGCCGCTTGCGACCCAAGACACGGACGTTACCTCACCGTCGCCGCCATGTTCCGTGGACGCATGTCGATGAGAGTGAGTTAACCTATATTCTGAATGGTTTAAAAAAATCAATTCTTTCAGGAAGTCGACGAGCAGATGCTCAACGTGCAAAACAAGAACTCCTCCTACTTCGTCGAATGGATTCCAAACAACGTCAAGACCGCCGTCTGCGACATCCCACCACGCGGACTTAAGATGGCTGCCACCTTCGTCGGAAACTCCACCGCCATCCAGGAGCTCTTCAAGCGCATCTCCGAGCAATTCACTGGTAATTTGACTTTTCCATTGAACTAAATATCCCCAATTTTCAGCTATGTTCCGCCGCAAAGCTTTCCTCCATTGGTACACTGGTGAGGGTATGGACGAGATGGAGTTCACCGAGGCTGAGAGCAACATGAACGATCTCATCTCCGAGTACCAGCAATACCAGGAGGCCACCGCCGAGGACGACGTCGACGGATACACCGAGGGAGAGGCCGGAGAGACCTACGAAGAGCAATAGATTCTCGACACCCCTAACTTCCATCACAAGCATTCTATTTCTTTCCACAACCTTCTTAAACCCCCCGTATTCGTTTCTTCCCTCACTTGTCTCTCTCACCCGCCCCGCTCTCCGACGTCATCCACCACCCATCCATTCACTAATTTATTTGCTTTTTTGATTGTTTTTCTTCTCGGAGACGTTCGCCGTCCCAAGTTTTATCTCTGAAATTTGCGTCTGAGTGAAGTGAATGCTGAAGTTTCGTGTAGTTCTCAAGATAGCGGCCCAAAAGTGCATTTGAGCACAAATATTTGTATTGTGGTTTTTTGATTTCTTTAAGAAGTAGCCGCAATGGGTTTCGAAATCTGTTAGGATATTATGCTTGTCTGAGAAAAAAAAACGGTGAGACGCAGAGAAATAGTGTCTGCGTCTCCACTTAATATGTGCTATTTAGGCTCTCCGCTTCGATATCGCTACCGTATTCAGACTGCAAAAAATACTCTAACCTTTTTTTTCTCAGACAAGCATAATAACAATAGGTAAAAAAAACTGAACCTATTTATTCAAAACTTGATTGGTAAAACATTATATAGAGAAACCGAAAAATATACAATTGAATCCTAGGTTAAATTCGCCGCCTTCACAAATCCATTCTGCTCGACGGCGGTGTTCGTGTAGTGAAAAGGCTCGTTCTTCTTGGTTAGAGTCTTGATTTCAGCAAGCTTATGACCTAATTTGTTCTTATAGGTTGTCTCATTTTTCGAAATAGAATACATTCCGTATTCCAACTGTTCGGCGCACTGCTTCATGGTGATTCCCGCCGGGGGTCCTGACACGATCCAATTGGTTTCTAGGGCTCGGAGCAAGTAGCGCACCCAATTTTCACGGCTCTAAAAATAAATATAGATATCACAGAGCTCACTACTAATAGTAAACTCACTTCTAGAGTGACATTCTTGATCACCGCCTGCTCTGGCTTGATTACAGAAATATCTGTCGCTGGCTCAACTCGTCGCGATCCACGTGGCACAGTTGGAGCCGCCGGCGCCGCCCGTCGTCGCTTGGCAAACTCGCTGTCAATGAGTCCTCGAACTCTCTTGGCCTCCTCGTGCTCCATACGCTCCATGGCATCTTTAGAAGACGTATTCGAGGAAAGCAACTCGTCTTCTGTCTCTCCGCCACGTCTTCCACCACCATAAACCGATTCGAAGCCAGACTCGGCTCTCGAGGTACCTGGCCGTCGGAACACCGAGCCATGAGAATCTCCGGCGTTCTGAAATTTTTTCAAATAAATTTTGAATGAGAAACTTCAGATTTCTCATACCGCGAAGGACTGCGCACTCTGCAACGTCGCCTTCGGATCTCGACAAAAATCGCAATTCGATCCGCACGGCCGACAATCGGTGTCGTCGAAGAACTCGGCGATTGCAACGTGGCGGCATCTGAAAATTTGAAATTTACAGATGTACCTAGGTTATAGACTCACTTGGCACTCTCACAGTACTCCAACATTTTCGCTAGTCCCACTTGTATCGATTTGATCTGCATTGCGGCTTTCTCGCCCTCGGCATTCTTTTTTTCGGCCTGGAAATTCGGAATTTTCGATTTTTCAAGGTTTTTTCTCAGTTTTCATTGTATTTTTCACTGAAAATCGCGAAAAATCAGTCCAAAAAGCATTAAAAAGGCGATATCGTGTCGAGACCCAAACAATTTTAAAAGCATGTTCCTTTAAACTACGGTAGTCTTGAGAAAATCATTTTTGGGCCTAAATCATGCCATTTTTTCTTATTTTTGCTGATTTTCGCCGATTTTGTTGGTTCTAGCGTGATTCTAATCGATTTCAGTCAAAAGTCGAAGAAAAATCCCAAAAATCAGCAGAAAAATCGGGAAAAATAGGCAAAAATTGAAAAATTTTGCGATTTCGTGTCGATACCCTGCCACTCGGAAGCATGTTCCTTTAAAATTACCGTAGCCTAGCGGAAAACATTTTTGAATTATGCTTTTCTTTCGCATTTTTCGCCGATTTTCGTCAGTTTTTTGTTACTAATATGATTTTAGACTAAATTTCGTTAAATTTTGGCGAAAATTGAGGGAAAATCGAGAACAAATAGCTAAAAAATTGCAAAAAAAAAGAACGGGAAAATAGGCAAAAATTAGGAATTTTCTCGATTTCGCATGGTCCTTTACATCGACTTTTCTGCCAAAAATCTTCCGAACCTTTGTCTTCAATTTCGCCAGCTCTCCAGACACCAAAAAATTCAGAGCATTCTTATCAGACTTCGCATAGTAAATTCTACAATAACTCCGTTTCCCATCACGACCAGCACGTCCCGCTTCCTGGTAGTATCCAGCCAGGTTTTGAGTCGGTGACCAGTGAACCACAGCTCTGATAATCGAAATTTGAACTCCCGCCAAACTCCGCCCGCCTACCTAACATCCGGCTTATCAATTCCCATTCCAAACGCCACCGTCGCCGCCACCACCGGAATCTCATTGCTCATCCACTTCTCCTGCACCTCATTCCTCTCCTTTTTCGGCAGTCCCGCGTGATACGCCATCGCTGGAATGCCAGCGATCCTCAGGACGTTAGCAATCTGCTCACACTCGCTTCTCGATCTACAGTATACAATTGCAGATCCAGTGAAGCTTTTTTTGGCTTGCGTTCTTGCAGATTTCTCGTTTTTCGTCAAATTTGATGTGGTTTTCGCCTGGTCGATGGTGAGGCACTTGGTGATAAACGAAGCCATGTGGTTCTGGAAAAAAATCGATAAAAATTGGGTCAAAATGAGAATTTGAAAAAAATACCTCTGGCGCCGTCGGCAAATGATCCCTCATCTGAACGTCGTAATACAAGTTGTCACGATAGGTTCCGGCTTTGAAGGCTTCTGGATTTCGAAGCCGCAACTGCGAGGAAATGTCATTTTGAGCTTTTTCATTGGCTGTGGCGGTTAGCGCTACCCACGGGACATCCGGACAAACATCGCGAAGAGCACCCAAGTTTAGATAATCGGGTCTGGAAAATTAAAATTTTTTTCAGCAATTTTCAGAGTTTGTTCAATGAAAATCGCGAGAAAGAACCAATTGAAAACGACAAATTATTTGAAAAAAAACGATATCGTGTCGAAACCCAACCTTTTTCTGAAGCATGTTCCTTTAAAATTACAGTATACTTGCGGAACAATTTTTGGGCCTAATTTATGGAATTTTCCGCTTTTTTGACAATTTTTTGGCGAAATGTGACTTTCGTTGGCTTTGATTCAAAATTTCGGCAAAAATCAAAGAAAAAAAAGCAAAAATCAGCAAAAAAATCGAAAAAGTAGGCAGAAATTGGAAAATTTGGTGATTTCGTGTCAAGACCCTGCTACTCTGAAACATGTTCCTTTAAAATTACGGTAGATTTTCAGCGATTTTTTTCAAAGAAATCTAGAAAAATACCTAAAATCATGTCCCCACTGTGTGACACAATGCGCCTCATCCACCACAATATATCTCAACACCTCTCGTCGAGTCAAACTCCCCAACAACGCCTTCATACTATCCGTCGCACAGCCTTCTGCCGTGATGTACAGTAGCCGGATCGTCGGATTCATCTTAGCCAATTCTCCCAAGATCCTCGTCCTCTCAACAGGTGTCAACGTGGAATTCAGCGTTTCACATGGGATTCCTTTCTTTCTCAGAGCCATCACTTGATCCTTCATGAGGGCAATCAGGGGGGAGACAACGATAGTAACCCCTCCATGAACAACAGCTGGCAACTGATAACACAGTGATTTTCCGGCTCCAGTCGGAAGGGAGACGTAGACATCACATTTTCGCTTGAGGATACAATTGATGGCCTGCATTTGGAGACGACTACGGTACTTTTTGTGACGGAAAACTTCGAGGAACACTTTGTCCCGCCTGTCTATGATTTCTTGAGGTCGAATCAGACGCTCGCCGGTCCCGATGGCGATTTCGCTGGCTGGAAATCACGTTTTGGGAGCTAATTCGAGAGCTAAGGCTCTAGGGTTCTTACCAACGAATTCCGATGGATCTTGAGAATCCTGAGAATCCAACTGACTAGAGGAGCCAGAAGGTCCTGGAGAATCCTCGGATTTCTTCGATTTTCTCGGCGCCGGCAAAGGTTTCTCAATTTTTTTAGATTTTTCCTGAGTTTTTGAGGGTCTTGCCGACGAACTAGCTGACCCATTTACAATTTGCTCTCTCCTCTTCCTCTCGTTAAACGCGTCCTTCAACTTCTGCCTTCTCAACTCATTATCCGCGTCCTTTTTCGCCTTCTCCACAGCCGCATCTTTGGATTTTTCGGTTTTTTTCTGAATAAAACATAAATTTTCAAGTCTTTATCGATATTTTAACCCCACTTTATTGAAAATTTCAGCCCATGCTGAGTAATTTGAAGTTGGGGGCTTTTTCGCCACCGGCGCTTTTTCTTCATCGGAATCGTCGATGGTGATGGTTTCCAGAGTTCGCTTGTTAGTTGACATTGCTGAAATTTTGGGTTTTTAGCGAGGAAATTCGGGTTAAAAGTAACGAAATCGTGGAAAAATCGACGAATTTTTATGAAGCGGCATGCAAACGCGCTCTGTCTGCTACAGCAAAAATGCGCGGGTTTTTGAATTTAGGTTTTTGCAAAAAAAATTTTTCGGAATTGTGCTTTTTACAGAAGGAAAAAAGTGATTAAAGACAGAAGCACATCTAAAAATCTGTAAAATTCTTTTTAAAAAATTGAGAAAAAAGAACGACAGAATCTGAATCGAAGAAAATCCGTTTTTTTTTTCCTATTTTCACTTTCCAGCCAAAACGCATCAAATTTCCCATTATTATTCCCAGTTTTATGCTAAATACCACCTATTTTTCAAAGAATTTTGTGCAGAAATTGCTGAAAATCGAAGAAAAACCCTGAAAATTTGACATTTTGGGTCATTTTCTAGTTTTTAATTGTTCCTGTTTATTTCCAGCTCTTTCCAGAGATAAAACAACAAAATTTCCGTAATTATTTTCAGTTTCAAACTAGATAATTTTTATTTTCAGCCAATTTTCGTTCAGAAATCCCTGAAAATCCTGAAAATTTGAATATTTAGGTTAATTTCAAATATTCTTTCGCTTTTTTTTGAAGTTTGGTTCGTTTTTACTAGTTTCGAAAAGAATTATTCAATACAAGAGCCAATTTTACAGCTGAAGTCAGTTTTATAGTTTTTTTATTATCCTTGTCAGAGAAAAAAAGGTTGAGTCGAAGTGTATGCGATGTTTGTAAACAAATATCTGAAAGCGTAAGCAACCGGAAACAGTTGAAACGAGTGCGACAGTAACCCGGCGGGAAAATGTTAAATTTACCTATTTTTTAGTTTTTCTCATATTTTGCAGCAAATTTCGTCGAATAAGGTTTGTTTTTCATTGTTTTTTGCGGTATTTTAAAATATATTCGACGAAATTTGCTGCAAAATATGCGAAAAGCTAAAAAATGAGTAAATTTAACATTTTCCCGCCGGGTTACTGTCGCACTCGTTTCAACTGTTTCCGGTTGTTTACGCTTTCAAATATTTGTTTACAAACATCGCATACACTTCGACTCAACCTTTTTTTCTCAGACAAGCATAATATTGTTCCGAAAAACAAATTAGCGACGCTCCGCCCACCCACCGCAAAATGAAACTCCGCCCCACCACCGCAGCTTCAAGACTCCGCCCACCCACCGCAGCGCCTTTTTAAGCAGCGGCGCCAAGCTTATTCCTCTTCATTGCATCAATGGCACGTACCAAGCAAACCGCCCGCAAATCGACCGCCGGAAAGGCTCCACGTAAGAACCTGGCCACGAAGTCAGCTCGGAAGGCAGCACCAGTCGCCGGAGGCGTCAAGAAGCCGCATCGTTTCCGTAAAGGAACCGTCGCGCTTCGCGAGATTCGTCGTTATCAAAAATCGACGGAGTTGCTAGTCCGCAAACTTCCGTTCCAACGACTTGTCCGTGAAATCGCGCAGGAGTTCAAGACCGATCTTCGCTTCCAATCAGCCGCGATCGGCGCCCTTCAAGAAGCTTCCGAGTCTTATCTCGTCGGTCTTTTCGAGGACACCAACTTGTGCGCCATCCACGCTAAACGAGTCACCATCATGCCGAAGGACATGCAACTGGCTAGAAGAATCAGAGGGGAGAGAACTTGAACCTTCTCAGCCAAAAACACCGAACCCAACGGCCCTCTTTAGGGCCACAAATCTCAATAAAATCCTGTTTGAAATTGAACAAATCTGTTTTTTTTTCTTAATTTTTCAGGTTTTCCGGCTGATCTTATCAAATAAAATCCTACAGGGAGCAGTTGATAGTTTCTGGAACTGAAAAAAAGTTATTGAATTCAATTGAACGGGAAAGCTTAATTTTATTCACACATTTCGAGCTGGGTAGTGGAAAAAAAAAGAAATTTCGCTGAAAATCCTGTGAAAATCATGAAAAAAATCTCGTTTATTTTTCTGATTTTCAAGTAGCGCCATTTTCAATTACGAAGCTTCACAAGTCTTATTGGGAGAAGTGGAAATTGTGAATTCTGGAGATTTTTAAAGGAATTTTAAAAGAAATTTCGCTGGAAAATTCTCGAAAAAATAGCGAAAATCATTGAAATTTGAAAATTGTAATGGAATTTTTTGAAGAATATTTAGAATTTTCCAACTAATTTGCAGATTTTCTTTATTAATTCGTCCCGATGATTATTCGAAGCTTCTGAGCGTCGTCAAATATTACTGAAACGTTGCTGGAAATCTTCTAATTCATTTCGAATTATTTGCACTTTTTCTGTTGAAATTTATAAAACAAGAATTTCTTCAACTTGGCTTCTTTTTAAATAAATTATCGAATTTTCGAAGAATTGGGAAAAATAAGAAATTTCGCTGAAAAAACTGTAAAAAAATGAAATTTAATAATTGAACAGATAATAATATATTTATTTGCAATGCATGGGAGAAAATCGATAGATAATTTGGCAAGAAATGGGACCTGTACAAATAAAAAAGTAAAATGACCAGACGGACCGACTAGAGTCCTGTAGGTCAAGTGGGAGGGATCAGAATATCATAAGGAATCGCTCCTACTCGCTTAGCAAACGCCACCGGACTGAGCTTAGAATTTATCACCTTACATACACGGTTCCACATAGACAAGTTTCTGTGAAGGAAACAGTCAAAGTATTGACCGTTGATTTTGAACAAATACGGGGCTCTGTTAGAATGGCTGGGAAGAATGTAGGACGACATAGAGGGAAAATGGTATGAGTTTATAACAATTTTGTGATAGGTACGAAGAACTAGAAGGGAGTTTCATAGAAGCTTCAAACTAATTTTTGCATATCTTCTTCATTATTTCGTCACGATGAAGCTTCTGGAAATCGTGGTGAAAATCTGGGATTTTTATCAATTGTGTTTTGCCTTGAAATTGTTTATTTGAATATGAAGAATTTGATAAATCGCTAAATTGTCTGTTTCTCTTGCGACTTTAAGACAAATTTAATTATATATTAAAAAAACATAAAGCTCTTTCAAAGCTTCAAAAGCTTTAAGAAGCTTTTTTGGCGCCAAGTTCAAACAATTTGAGCGCCTCCGCTACTTGCGTAACAAGGTCTCTTCCCATACGAACCGACGACTACGTCGTCTGCCGAGATTCTTCCCCGGAGATCCCATGTTTGACACCCGTAGGTACTTGACGTCGTACCTGCATCAGGTACGCGTTTTCCACTCAAGACCCGACGTTATTGATTAACAGAAAATCAATAGAGTCTTCTGATCAATAAGCTCTACAGACTCAATTCTCTCATTATCCATTTCAATCTATCTACTTCTGTCTAATACATTCATTCTATTTTATTAATTTCTTCCTTTTTCCAGTATGACCAACCAGGTTAATAACCAGACCCAACGCCGCCTAGCCAACCATCTTTGTTTAAATGTTCTAAGAGCTATGAAATACCATGCAATGTAAGCTTATTTCTTCTCAATTTGTTTCCTTGAGTTTATGTCATTTCAGTATTGTCTACTCATTTGTTTCGAAGAAGGCATTAGAACTGGTTCAATCTCTTCGATTACGGATTTCATCGATTCTAATAAAAATGAGGACAGATCCACTGATAGAGTTGGACTTTGGGGACATTTGTATCGTTCTCGAGTTTGAAATGGGCAAAAACTATGATCAAATGACGAGCTTGAATGATGTTCCAGTCAGTTTGAATGTATTTAAAGAAGATATAAGGATAAATCTGGCAGTAACTATGTCAAATCAAGGAATGGCGTTAAGAGAATGGATTCAGCATCTCTGTTCAATTTCCAATAAAGTGAAACTGTATGAAGCCGATTTTCGTGTAGGAGATATGGAATTAGACATTCAATCACTCCGGAATGCGTTCCCAAAACTTCGAAAAATCGACATATACGGCTCGCAAAATGAAAATTTCGAACACGAGATTCTTAACGCCCAATTTATTCTGAGAGCGTTTCTACCATATGTTAAAGAAGTCCAATTGTTTCATGTCCCTCTTGGAGAGAACCTTTCCTTTCAACACATTGGGATGGCGAATTTAAAAAATCTGGACTTCGTTCATCCAAAAAATTTGAATTTTGATTGTCTCCTCACATTAAATGTTCAAATGTGCATGTTACAAACAGATCAAATGCCACTTCGCGATCTGAATCATTTTTTCAAATTGTGGATTAAAGGATCCAATCCAAGATTGAAGGCATTGAGCGTTTGGTGTGACACGGAAACCGTTCCTGACTGGAATGTATTGCTCAAAGGATTGAGAACTAAAGGACTAGAAAAAGTAGAAGAAGAAGAAGGAGGAGAAATAGAAGATGAAGATGAACAAGAAGATGACGAAGTAGAAGACGAAGATGAAGTAGACGAAGAAGAACAATCAGAAGAAGAATCACACGTGGAATCGGAAGAATCGGAATCAGAAAGATCAGAATCAGAAGAAGAATCAGGAGAAGAACTGGACGAAGAAGAAATGGAAGGAGGAGAAGGGAAGAAGTTCTTCATAATGAACTGTCATGGTATGAGCGGTCAAATCGAAGTCAAACATTTCGAAGGATCTGCTAGTGTTACGTTTTTTGTTTCAAAAATTAATTGGTCAGATAAAGCTTCTCATTGGACCTAATAAAGTTTTGTAACTATTTTCTTTTTCTTCATGAATCATTCGATTAATATTCTCCAATAAACTATTTTAAATAGATCGGAGTTTGTTCGTTTCTAGACGTGGCATGATTTAATAGAGATCTGAGCAACTGGTCAGAAGAATCAGAGGAGGGAGAACCTGAACCTTCTCCGTCAAAAAATACCGGAACTAAATTTGCAACTAAATTGCAAAAAGTGTAACTAATTGTAAATTTTTGTACATTAACTATTGCGAGACGAAACAAAAATATCTGGATTTGAACCAAAACAGATAACTATACACTAAATTCCCACTAATTATATGAAAAGGTCTCCCTTAATCTGGATGTTGACATTTTCCCTTGGAGACACTCTCTACATTCCCATCAGTATTTTTGACGTCGTACCTGCATCAGATACGCGTTTTCCACTCGAGAGGCGACGTTATTGATTAACAGAAAATCAATAGAGTCTTCTGATCAATAAGCTCTACAGACTCCATTCTCTCATTTTCTATTTTAATATGTTTCTGTCTGACACTGTCGTTCTATTTTACTAATTTCTTCCTTTTTATAGAGATATGACCAACCAGGTTAGTAACCGGACCCAACGCCGTCTAGCGAACCATCTTTGTTTAAATGTTCTGAAAGCCATGAAATACCATGCAATGTGAGTTTATTTCTTCTTTATTTGTTTCATTGAGTTGATGTCTTTTCAGAATTGCCTACTCATTTGTTTCGAAAAAGGCATTAGCACTGGTTCAATCTCTTCATCTACCGATCAAATCAGTTCGAATAATAATGAAGGAAAATCCAGTGATAGAGTTGGAGTTTCGGAACGATTATGTCTCTCTCGAGTTTGAAATGGGCAAAAACTACAAGCAAATAGCGAGCTTGAATGATCTTCCATTAAATGTGAATGTATTCAAGGGAGAAGAGGTACATCTAGCAGTAACTATGTCAAATCAAGGAATGGCGTTAAGAGAATGGATTCAGCATCTCTGTTCAATTTCCAATAAAGTGAAACTGCATGAAGCCGAATTTCATATAGGAGATATGCAATTCGACGTTCAATCACTCCGGAATGCGTTCCCAAAACTTCGAAACATCGGTATACATGGCTCGCGAAATGAAACTTCCGAACACGAGACTCTTAACGCCCAAATTATTCTGAGAGCGTTTCTACCTTATGTTAAAGAAGTCGAATTGATTTCTGTCAATCTTGGAGAGAACCTTACTTGTGAACACATTGGAATTGCGAATTTAAAAAATTTGGACTTCGTTCATCCAAAAAATTTCAATTTCGATTGTATCTTCACATTGAATGCAGAAAGTTGTAATATAATAACAGATCAAATTCCGCTTCGCGATTTGAATCGTTTCTTCAAATTGTGGGTGAAGCAACCCAATCCAAGAAGGAGGTCATTGATGATTTCGTGTGACATGGAAACCGTCCCAGACTGGAATGTCTTGCTCAAAGGATTGAAATTTGAAGAAATAGAAAAAGAAGCAGAAGAAGATGATGAAGAAGTAGAAGAAGATGAAGAAGATGAAGAAACAGGAGCAGATGAAGATGAAGAAGAAGCAGATGAAGAAAAAGCAGAAGATGAATCAGAATCAGAAACAGAATCAGATGAAGAATTAGAAGACGAAGAAGTAGAAGGAGAAGGGAAGAAGTTCTTGATTAGAAATTGTCGTGGGATTCATGGTCAAATAGAAGTCAAACTTTTTGAAGGATCTGCTAGTGTTAAGTTTATTGTTTCGAAGGGTTATTCATGAGAAAAAGTTATTTATTGGTCCTAATAAAGTTTTTATATCATTTTCTTTTTCATCATTTCTACATGAGTCATTTGATCAATATACATATTCTGTGCAACTACCTAGATGTACCCCTTCAGACTGCGTACCCACTCAGTCAATGTACCCCTTGAGCATGATGTACCCTATTTCGATGTACCCCTGGAGAACGGACCGAAATTCTGTCCGAATTTCTGAGATTTTGAAGTGCTGAAAATCTGAGATTCTCAGACTGTGAAGTTCCGAAATTCTCAGATTCCGAAATACTGAAATTCCGAAGTTCTGAAATTCAGGAATTCAGAAACTCCCTCAAAAAATTGTACCCCCGAATCACAAGCGTTGTACCCCTAAATGAAATGAGTTGTACACCAGAATCATTGGTAGTTTGTACCCCCGAATCGTTGTACCCCCGAATTTGTGTACCCCCGAATCATCAATTTTGTACCCCTAAATCAGTTGTACCCCCTTGTACCCCTAAATCAGTTGTACCCCCCCCCCCCCCCAAATTTTTTGCCGTTTTTTCATCATAAATTGTCGTGGAATTCGCGCTCTAATCAAAGTCAAACAAACTGAAACCTCTGCTAGTGTTACTTTTATTGTTATTGAAAAAGTTATTTATGAGATTAAGTTTTCATTGACGCTAATAAAGATTTGATATTATTTTTTTTGTTCGCCATTTCTACATGAATCATTTGACCAATGGTGGTACCAGGGATGAGAACTCGACAAATGAGAACTCGCAAATTTGCTTGAAGAACCTGAAATTTCGTTCGGAGAAGTATTTACTGTCACGTAGCGACTAACCGCTTATCAAAGTCTTGAAAAAATTACAATTGACTTGCAAGAATCGAGAAATAGTGCAACCAAAAAAGACCGATTTCTTCAAGCTCAAAATCACAACGGTCACCGAACAAAAATGAGTAGTCTAGCATTATTTCGACAATAATTGAGTGTAAAAACAAAAACTAGGAGGAAAAAGTTGGAAAATCCATGTTCAAACTTTTTTAGAAGACGTTGAAATACTCCGTTGCACGATATGCGCCATTGCACACGAAACGCGCAAGCCGATCGTTTGCGCGTTTCTCGACGCTTTTTTTCGCCCCAACCTGTCATCGCCGGGTGCCGTGAACTACTGTATTTTTTGAACCTATTTTCCTTATATATAAAACGCTAGAGGCGTCTGTCCGTCCCGGTGTCACTCTGGCAACTTTTGGAAAGCTTGAAAAATTAATATAATCTTACGTGACCCTTTAAGAATAATTTAGGAGCGGAGCCACGAATCAGTAAAAAGCTAGATTGATTCACGCCGAAGGCGCACCAGCTTACTGGTTTTAAGTATTTTTTCCCATTTACTCATTTTTTCAACCATATTCACGGTTTTTTTTCATTTTAAACCGGGAAAAAAATAAAGTGAAATGAGGTGAAAATCGTCGAAAAAATGAGGAACTAGGAAAATAATACTAACAAGTAGAATCAAAAGATACGTTAAATCGCTCTTGAGATTTTCGGAAACATTTAACGAGTTATCCGCTCTCAACCTTTTTTGACGCAAAATTCAAAAAGTTCGAGTGCCTCCGCTACTTGCATAATAAGATCTTCTCCCATACGGACCAACGGCCACGTCTTCTGCCGACATTCTTCCCTGGTGATCCTCTTTTTGAAAACTAATTGCCCTTGACGTCGTACCTGCATTAGATACACATTGTCCACTCGAAACCCACCTTTATTGATTAACACAGAATCAATAGAGTCCCCTGATCAATAGACTCTCCAGACTCAATTCTCTCATTTTTCTATTTCAATCGGTTGCTGTCTAATACATTCATTCGTTTTATTAATTTCTTTCTTTCTCCAGATATGTCTAACCAGGTCCAGACCCGACGAAGCCGTCTAGCTAACGATCTTTCTCTAAATGTTCTGAAAACTATGGACCTCTTTGAAATGTGAGTTTATTTATTCAAAACTTTGTATTGGTTGCATTGATTTTATGTCGTTTCAGCATTGCCCACTCATTCGTTTCAAAGAAGGCGTTATCGATGGTTCAATCTCTTCGATTACCGATCAGATCGGTTCAAATAAAATTGGATGAAGATACAGAGATCGCCTTAAACTTTGAGAACAGATGTATCGTTTTCGAGTTGACAATCCGCAAACAAATGGCTAGCTTGAATGCCCTTCCAGTCAAAGTAAAAACATGGAAGGATACAACGATGGATACACTGAACGATGATGATACTCGAAATCAAGCAGTAACTATGTCAAATTACGGAATGACTTTAGGAGAATGGATTCAACATCTGTGCTCAATTTCTGAAAATGAAATACCGTTGGAGGTCCAATTTTGGACTGAAGATATGCAGTTAGACATTCAATCACTCCGGAACACTTTTCCAAAACTTCGACAAGTTTGTGTTATCTTCTCGCTAGATGGAACGAACGAAAATGAAATTATTTACGCTGAAAACCTCATGAGAGCGTTTCTTTCTGATACTCAAAACGTCCATTTATATTTTGTTCCTCCTCATTTTTCTCTTCAATCCATCGGAATGGCGAATTTGAAAGAGTTGAAGATAAATTCTCGAAGCAATCTGAATTACGATTTTCTTTTTACATTGAATGTTGATAATTGTGAAATTTGCTCAAAATCAGATCAAATGCCCCCCCTCCGCGATTTGAATCGTTTTTTCAAATTGTGGATTAAAGGGTCGAATCCAAGATTGAAGGAATTGCTCATTGATTGCGACACGGAAATCGTGCCAGACTGGAATGTTTTGTTGAAAGGATTGAGAGCTGAAGAAGTAGAAGCAGAAGGATCAAAGAAGTACATTATTATAAATTGTCGTGGAATTCGCGCTCAAATCGAAGTCAAACATACTGAAACATCTGCTAGTGTTACCTTTATTGTTTCAAAGTAATGTATGAGAAAAAGTAATTTGTTGGACCTAATAAAGTTTGTATATTAATTATTTCGTGTTCACCAATTCTACATGAATCACTTGAATATTCTCTAATAAACGATTTTTAATTAGATCGGAGTTCGTTTGTTCCGAGACGTGGCATGATCTAGTAAAGATCTGATTGTGAGCAGATCTAATTCTGAAGAATTTAGCCATATTAAAGTGTACTTTCTCAGGCAAAACTATCTCTACAGAACTTTTTTTTATTAAAGGTGGGGGGACAGGAGATTTTTCGTAGTTTTTTTGTAGCTAGAGTATGTATTCTACCGTCACGGTGTACAACGCTTAATGTCACTCTGCGTACAGCTGTCGTCCTCGCCTTTATGTATGCAATCGGGCGCGCGCTTTCTCTTTGCCCGCGTGGCTCAGTCGGTAGCGCACCCTCAATCATCGCCCTCGCAAGTTCAACTCCTCGAGGGGCATCTTTGAACGGAATTTCGAGAACATCATTTTTTTTCATGTCCCCCCACCTTTAAGAATAGAATACTTGAGATGATTCTAAATGTTTTATTTCAAACAAAATATCATACTGAATTTCCCCACTGACTTTATGAGAAGGTCTCTTTTAATCTGTACAACCTGCCATGTCTGCGGCCAACATTTTCCCTGGAGACCTCTTTTGACACCTCGTTACTCTCATATCTGTAATTGACGTCGTACCTACCAATGACCAATGATGGGAGGAAACGCATTTTTCCGAAATACGGAAAACGGAAACGGAAAGAGAAATTGTTTCCGCGAAAAACGGAAACGGAAAAAAATCTTTGAAAATCGGTCGGAAAACGGAAAACTAAAACGGAAACGGAAATTTTTATTTTTCGTCTATTTTTCAGGATTTTTTCCCTTCAAACGTAAAAATATACCCTTTTTAACGTTTAAAGACCATATTTGCATGACTTTCCATGCTTTTTTTCAAGCCAGTTTCAGTTTAATGTTTTCGTTGTTTTTTAAATTTTTTTTCCGTTTCCGCTGTGAAAAAATGGCGGGTTTTCCGGAAAACGGAAACGGAAACGGAAATTCCTCCCATCACTGGTACCTACATTTTCCACTCAAGACCCGGCCTTATGTACATATTTACACAAAATCAATAGGGCCCTCTAAGGACTTTATATTTTCATTTTCCATGGTTTTTTGTATGATGTTCTTCCTCACTTTGTCTGCTATCATTATTCTATTCTATGAATTTCTTTTTTCTCGAAATATGATCAACCAGAGATTTCCACTTGTCTACATGAAGATCTCTGTTTAAAGGTTCTGAAAAATATGGGCTACATAGAAGTGTGAGTTTATCTCCTCAAAAAGTTTGTATCCATTGCATTTTTTCATTTCAGAATTGTCTTCTCATTCATCTCAAAAAAGGCATTTTCAATGGTGAAGGCTCTTCATTTACCAATCACATCTATTCGATTAATAATGCAGGATGATCCACGGATTGTTCTCGAATTTTGGGATGTTTCCATTGTGTTCGAGTTGGTAATGAGCAGAGACTACGAAAAAATGATGAGCTTGAATGACCTTCTAGTTAATGTGAATGTATTTAGAGGGAACCCAGAGAAAAAACTAGCATTAATAATGTCAAATAGGAGAAAGACTTTAGGAGAATGGATTCATCATCTCTGTTCAATATCCGATAGAGATGTACTTTATGAAGCCGTTTTTTATTTTGAAAATCTACAATTCGACATTCAATCACTCCGGAATATTTTTCCCAAACTTCGAGAAATCTGTATATACTTCTCGCGAGATGAAACGGACCAGTGCGATGTTCTTTACGCTCAAACCATTTTGAAAGCGTTTCTGCCAATGTTCAGAGCGTGAAGTTGAATCGTGTCCCTCTCCAAGAGAATCTTTCCATTCAACATATCGGAATGGCAAATTTAGAAGAGTTCAAGTTATTATCTCGAAGCACTATGAATGTTGATTGTCTTTTCACATGGAATTTCGAAAGTTGTATTGTAAATACAGTTCAAATGTCGCTCCGAGACTGGAATCGTTTTTTCAAATTGTGGATTAAAGGATCCAATCCAAGGTTGAAGGAATTGTACATTTCGGGTGACATGGAAACCATACCAGACTGGAATATCTTGTTGAAAGGATTAAGAGCAAAGGAAGCAGAAGAAGAAGGATCGATGAAGTACATAATCAAAAATTGTAATGGGATTAGCGGTCAAATCAAAATCATTTATCATCTGGAAGAATCTGCTATTATTGATTTTATTGTTTTAAATTAATTAATGAGAAGAAGGTGTTCATTGTACTCTAATAAATTTCTGAAAATATTTTTTGTGGACTTTCATAAAACGTTGATATCTTTCTTGTTCACCATTTTTTTGATACATCCTTGAGATCTGAAATCGTTCTGGAGATCCGGAAAAGATCTGATTTTCAAAATAAATTGCTAAATTAGCAATTTTCCGTCATTGTACATGTCCTTCACAGTTTTGCGTTGTCACTTTTGGAAAGAGCAGATGAAACCAGTTTTAATTTCCGTACAATACTTGAAAGACGAAACTGAATATCTCAATTTGAACCGAAACAGAGAACTGGGCACCTAATCTCCGCTAATTACTTTAGAAGAAGGTCTCATAATCTGTACGTCATGTCTTCTATCAACATTTTTGCCAGGAGATGTCTTTTGACCCCTCACCAACCTAATATGTTACTCTCTGCATTGTTCTCGACGTCGTACCTCCAAAAGATGCAACAGAAAGTCAAACAGAAAGTCAATAGAGTCCTCTGATCAATAGCCTCTACAGACTCAATTATCTCATTTTATTTTCTCTACATGTTTGTTGTCCGTAATCATTTTGGCTTTTGCATTTATTCTGGTTCATTATTGATATCTTATTTCTTCCAGATATGACCAACATGAAATTCCCTTTCCCACGCCTACCCAATGGTCTTTGTTTAAAGGTTTTGAAAACTATGGACCCACAAGAAATGTGAGTTTATTTCCTCAAAATTTTGTACCTGATACATTGAGTTTTATTCATTTCAGAATAGTCTACTCATTCGTTTCAAAAAATACATTATCACTGGTTAAGACTCTTCATTTACCAATCACATCGATTCGAATATTAATGAATGCACGGCCGCAGATCTTTTTCGAATTCGGGGATATTTGTATCAAGTTTGAGTTGAAAATGTGCTGGAACTACGAAACAATGATCAACTTGAATGATCTTCCAGTCAATGTGAAAGTTTTAACCGGAAAAATAGAGAGAAAACTAGAACTAACGATGTCAAATCAAGGAATGAGTTTTGGAGAATGGATTCAGCATCTCTGTTCATTTACAGATAAAGTGAAGCTGTATGAAGGTGATTTCCATGTTGGACATATACATTTTGACATTCAAACCCTTCGGAAAACGTTTCCAAAACTTCGAAACATTGTTATAACCTGCTTCAGAGAGGAAACGGAACAGCGCGTTTTTTATGCTCAAACCATTTTGAAAGCGTTTTTACCAGATGTCCAAAACGTAGAGTTGTGGCGTGTCCCTCTCCAAGAGAAACTTTCACTTCAACATATCGGAATGGCGAATTTAAAACAGTTGGGGTGTTACCGTAAAGGCAATATGAATATTGATTGTCTTTTTACATGGAATTTCGAAAGTTGTATTATAGATACAGATCGAATGCCACTTTGCGATTTGAATCGTTTTTTCAAATTGTGGAAAAAAGGGTCCAATCCGAAACTGAAAGAATTGATACTTTCGTTTGACACAGAAATCGACACAAACTGGAATGTATTGCTGAAAGGGTTGAAAGCTGAAGAAGTAGAAAGAGAAGAAAGATCGATGAAGTACATAATCAAAAATTGTCGTGGGGTTTCCGCTGAAATCGAAATCTGTCATTTTGAAGAAGAAGCTAGCATTGAATTCACTGTTTCGAATTAATCGATAAGGAAAAAGCTTGTATTCGAAATTAATAAATTCTTGAAATTACTTTTTTGTTCATCATTTTAAAATGAATTGAGGGATGTTCATTAGAACCCCGAACACTTTTTGTCTACACCCAATGAGAATAAACAATTTTTAAAAGTTGCAAAAAAATTTCAATCACTTCTACAACTGAAAGCGTTCTGGAAGTTCGGAAAAGATCTGCATTAAAAAAAAATAGAATAATTGTGCGGTCGAAGAATTTAGCAATGTACTCTTGATGATGTCAAATGTTTTTTCTGAAATTTTCAGAACAAACTCTGAATTTCAGGCAGATTTTCAGAAATTTTTCTCGATAATTCGCCAATTTTAAAGTAGATTTTTAGGCGATTTTTTGGTTTTCCAGACAGATTTTTTTCCAGATAAAAATGCTACACATTGTCTTCTTGTTCTTCCACTTCATCTCCTTACTCTTCTCCCAAAAACTTCAACATCACCAACTTGTCTTTTTCTTTTTTTTTCCTCTTCTTCATCCCAAACAATGATTCCCAGGGGGGCTTACTTACTTGTCTTCCTTTCCCCCTTCTTTTTCTTCTTCTAACCCACCCCAATTCTTTTCCGCCTGTGCTGCACTTTCGTCGGGGGGCTCCCGCGGACGACGCATCCTAAAACCCATAGAGCGAAAGAGTATGAAAAACGAGGAGACGCAGAGAGTGTCGAAAAAGGCTCTGCGCCCGTCTCTCCTCTCTTTTTGCGTCGTCTGAAGCGGCTTCTCGTATTGATTGGGGGATGCTCCCTCCGTCTTTTTCGTCTCTCCGTGGTAGCCCTTCATCGTATTCTCCGGCTGCTTTTTTCTCTTCGTCTCTTGATGTCTGGTTGTGCGTATTTTACCCATTTTTGTTGTATACCAATCGGGGTGGTCTCGATTGTTCTGGAACAATTTTTTTTTGGCTTTCGCTTTAAAAACATTTTCATAGTATATAGCCACTGTCTTGTTTCAAAACATCTAGTTCGTGAACAATATTTCGAAAGTATTGACGTCTTCTGATTTTAGAAATCGTACAAAAAGTTTTGAAAGTT